GGGGGGAGGGGGGGGGGTAAGGGGGAGATCATGTCTCTCCTTAAAAATCCCCCAGTGGTGCCCTGTCCCAAGGCTCCTCAAACAAGATGCTCCACACTCTGGCCTCTGCTCTCTACTTTCCTTCAATCCCCACCCCGCTCTGTTCTAAACCCACACCCAACTGTTCTGCACCCTTTATCCCCCGCCCCTACCTATACCATTTCCTGTTGCCACAATCCTCATTCCTTAGGTCACTTCCTCAGCCAGTTTCCTGATGCTGTGCCTGTGTCCACAGCCCCTTCTAAGTCTGAACAAATCTCTCCTCTAGCGCCAGTTCTCCCCCGGAGGCTCCTCACTCCTCCCCTGCCAAGACCAGTTCTGATGCCCCTCAGTCGTCCCCAGGCCTGGGGACGGGGGATGAGACAGCCGTCATTACCTCTCCATTCAAGGCATGTCCCTCCTTCCTTTCCCCTGCCTCACCCCTTGCTTTCCAGATGGGGAAGGGGGAGGGGAAGGAGAGGCGGTGAGCCTTTCCTGGAGTCTGGGTCAGAGAGGCACAAGGAAGGTGGGAGACAGCTTCCTGGCTGGCGCAGGAGCCTCCTGGCAGGCGATGGGTGAAAGCAGGTGCTGACCTCAGGCTCGCCATGACCAGGCCTAGGCCTAGGCGATAGCGCAGAGGTAAGCCCAGCATGGAGGATTCATCAGAGCAGCCCTGCCTGGCCCAGCGTGGGGCCCAGGCAGGCCCAGCGGTGGGGGAGAGGCTTGGTTAGGTGCTCCTGGCCATGTGCATGTCCTCCCTTCCTTGCTGTGGCTCTGAAGCAAGTGGCTGCCCTTCTCTGAGCCTCAGCCTCCCCACACGGTGGGGGCTGTGGACTACAGCCTGAGAGCAGGATGACAAGCCAGGGCTCCACCGCAGCTCCTTGGAGTCTAGGACGCTACGGTCCCGATAAAGGGCTGGGCCAGGCCCCGGACCCAGGTGAACCAGGGAAGGTGGCCGCCAGCGTCTGGAACTTGGTCTTTGGAGCTTTCCCACGTGGCAGTCTGGGGGGGAGCAGGTATTGTGGCCAGAGAGGCCTCCGTGGAGCTGCACAGCTGGACCTGAGCCAGCCAGCGCCAGTCACCAGGCAGTCACCCAGGAGTCAGCAGGACGTGCTGGTGCCAAAGCCAGACATCAATCAGCAAGAGCTGCCAGCTCTGCCACCACCTCAGAACCTTTCTCCCCCTTTCTCCCAAGGGTATGGATTTTAAAACTCAATAGACCTTCACCGGCACGTGCGAGGTGGGGATTCTAGGGCCTTGAGAAAAGAGTGCAAGGGCAGCCTGGAGCTGGGCTGAGCTTTTGGGGTTACATACGGACCCTGGCTCTCAGGGAGGGACAGCTCTTTCAGCTTGCTCTAGGGTTCAAAGAGAAGACAGAAAACGCCTGGGAAATCTTATTCCCTTTATTCTCTTCTACTAATCAACATGACCACCAGTGACACAACACTGTTATTGACACACAACACTCAAAAGTGGGGCCTCTCTTCACTCCAGGGGCACAAGTAAGGTGAGGGGCTTCCCTAATGAGGGCAAAGGAGTTTGGGGCTGCTCACCTCAGGGGCAGGTGCCATGGAACCCCTTGGTGATGGTTTCAAGTTTCCCCATCATTCGGCATTCATGCCCAGTTCCCTTCTGACCTCCATATCCATAGCAGTTTCGAGTTTCACACTAAGCTCAGATCAGTTTCTATTCTTCCCTCTGCTGGGCTCCTCAGTGGGGCACTTCAGAAGAGTCAGGCCTGCATGGAGTGGGACAAGAGGCCTTCCAGGACCATCTGGGCCTCTGCCTGAGCTGGTCAGAGGGACTCTGGACATGGCCACCTCCCCAGCCAATCCCCTGCTTAGTTCCTCCTAACATGTAACTTATTCTGGGAGAGGAGCACCTGGCTTAAGGAGTTTGGGGAGGTGGGCAACAGAGAACAGGTCATACCCCAAAGGTCTCTGACTCTGCCCCTTTCCTGCTACAAAACCCCAGACCCCAACTCATCGAATCCACATCATCCATTGAAGTACCGGAGCCTCAACTCCTGGCCCTAACCCATTCCTACAACATGCGAGCATCCCACTACATAGGCTACACCCAAGTCCTCATTGGCCCGCAGCCGCCTTTGACCACACTGACCACCTCCCCCTGGACTGGCCCCCGGACTCCGGAGGCTGCTCCCCAGGACTCTCCTGGAGACAGATTTCTCAGACGGTTTGGGGGGTTCTGCTTCTACCTTTAAAGGGGGTTTGTCTCCCACTGGAGTTTCTTTCTGCTGCCATCTTAGAGGGAAAAGGATCTGCTTTGAGGTGGAGGACTGTCCTGTCCTGTCTCACGGGGGCGCGCCCTTTGCGGAGGCTTCTGTTGGCAGAGCTCCCGCGGGCAGGCCCCTCCCCTCAGTAGTGCGTTCCGACCTGGCGCTTGGGTCGGTGGGACTTTGATGCAGACTGTAGGAAGGGTCTTCCCACAATCATGCCATGCCTGCCTTCTCCTCCCCGCAGGCCTAGCCTTTTCCTCCTAGTGTCCTAGATTTTATCCTTTGAATTTGAGGGTTGTCCTTTGGGGGCAGGGGAGATGAGAGGGGGACTGTCACCTTTTGAACTTCAGGTAATGAAACGCTCCTGGCACGTGGGGTCTTACTCGGGGACCACAGTGCGTTACTGGGGTCAGTGGGCACTTCCTTTGGACCCGCACTGGATGGTGTCTCCAAGGTTAGGGGATGGGTTCTCGTTACAGATGTTTCAAGAGTTTTCTCCAACCATTTCAGAGGGCAACAGTCTCTCCCCTGCCGCATACATCCCGTCATGTTCGCAGGTCTGGCTGGGTTCATGAAAGCGGTAACTGTGTGGTGTGTGAGAACAGGAGATGGGTCTGGCAGGGGTGTGGCTCTCATCTTTCCGTTTCCCTCTGAAGGTTTCTGACTGAGAGGAGGAGTCAAGTAGGTGGAATCCATCCCTTCCCAGGACCACAATCCGGCTGGGCTGTCACTTTAGAGGGCTCCAGGCATGGGGCGAGGAAGGTGGTCGGGCCTCCATATACTCTTCTGTGGGGTGTTTGGACACCATCACTGTACAGGCTGGCTTATCCTGCCAGCAGCCTTGCTGTCAGCTCAGAGGAGAGAGTGAGGTTTAAGAGCAGATCGCTGACCAATCAAATCTCTCTATTCTCTTAACTTGCTGTCTCTCGTTGCCAGAGACCCTACCAGAGCTCCCGCTGACTTGCAGAAGAGCACGCGCGAGAGGATTTACCGCACACAGGCCTTGCGTCTCCCAAGGGAAGGGCTTTATTCTTTGGAGGTCAACTAGCAGCAGTCCTCCCTCTTCACCGAGGACAGAGTTCAAGGAGAGGGGCTGCCACTGCAGGGACACGGGTGGCAGTTAGAGTTTAGGAGGAGCCTCCCGTCGGTGAGACCTGAGATGTAAGCAGGAGGGATCCTCCATTCCTGGAGGCCTCTCCGAACAGAAGTCCCCAGGAAAGGGGTGTCCTGCTGGCTGGGGAGGACCCTGGCGGCCTGGCTGGGGTCTGCCTGCACTTGCAGCTTAACAAGCTCCCAGGAACGGGCGGACAGCTGGGAGTTAGCCGGGTTCCATCTGAACAGTTTCTCATCTGGTCTCCTTCCCTCAAAGCACTCTAACTGAACCCCTGACGCTTCCCCCTAAAATTTTGTGGTGGTTCCCCAGTATTCTTACATAAAGTTATATGCACCCCAAACTTCAGCCTTTAAAGGGCTCAACATCACATTTTTTTCCTTCCCCATTTTTGGCTTCTTTCTGCTAAGGAATTCCATGGGCCTGTTCCTCTTAGGACACAATTTGTCTAGGATTGGCCTTGTACCCGAGGAACCCCCAGTGCAATGAGCTGGACTTTCTCTTCCTAGTTCCTGGGTCATTTCTCCTCTGTGGATCTGAGGGCTCTTCATCACTTATTTTTGTCCTGTCTTTGTTTCCTTCCTTTTCCAATTCCCACATTTACTCAGGGAACTGTCCAAGGCTCCTGGGAATGAGCTCCCTCCCACGAGCAGGGAGAAAGAACACTGTTGAACAAGTTCACGGGAGGTTCTTTTACACCTTCTGAGGGTCCCTGCTCCCAAGTCAATGCCATTGCTATAGTCCCTGCATTTCCCCGACCCTACAGTTTTACAAGGATTTCAGTACAGTTTTCTAGAGTTGTCTAGAGACATACGGGACCTCATCCTACAATTAATAGGGCTTTTATCCACTATCGTGTATAGGGATCTTCTGCTACAGACTTAAAGGGCTTTTTTCCTACATATTTATAGGGTTTCTAACCCAACGGTTTTTCTCTACTGCATTATAAGTGGTTCCCACCAACAATTTATAGGGTTTCTTACCACTGATATAAAAGCACTATTTTTACCCGGGGTCCTTTGTCCTCCACACGTCTACAATCTGATAGGGCTTTCTTTCTTTTCTCGTACAATATTTGGGGAGATCCAGTGTTCCTCTCAGGAGAGAGAGGCCCCGGCCTCCAGACACATTTCACAGGGCAACCCCTGGGTGGCAGCTCCTATGGAGGAGGAGGGCCGCGACCTCCGTGAAGCCGTCTCCACACTCAGGGCACAGATAGGGCTTTTCCTCCAAGAGAGTTTTGGGGGTTTCCCCTTCCCCATGGCTGCTGCTCCCTGCGGGTGCGGGGGCCTCCCTTTCACCTTCCTGGCTTGGGGGTGGGGTGACTGGCTCTGGAAGGGGGTCTTCCGGTCTGGGGGACTTCTCTTGGGTGTGTGTCTCCTGGTGCCGGACGAGGGCCAGGCGATCCAGGAAGGAGGCCCCACAATCGGAGCAGCTGTAGGGTCTGGCCCCCAGGGGGCTCCGGAGGTGCTCCAGGAGGACAGAGGAGCTCTTGCCCCGCTCTGGACTCTTCTGCGTTTTCCCAGCTGCATGGACTTTCTGGTGCAGCAGCAGCTCAGAGCTGAGCCCAAAGCTTTTTTTGCACTCAGGGCATTTAAAGGGCTTTCCACTTAGGAAGGGACTGGGCCCTGCCCCTTCTGCTAAGCCAGTCCTATAATCAGGAAAGAGAAGGGGCTTCTCGTGGCCGTGGGTGAGCTGGTGCTGGAGGAGCACGGCCCGATCCAGAAAGCTTTCCCCACAGTGGGAACAGATGTAGGACTTGGAGGAGAGCAGGCCCAGCCTTTGGCCGAAGCCCTCCTGGCCCTCGGGCACTTTAAGGGGCGGTCCTAGGGCGTCCGCTCTGCCCTCGGAAGCACCTGGATAGGAATTGCCTCCAAAAGGGAGCCTGGGAGGCCGGAGCTGCGGAGGCTTGGGGGCTGGGTGTGCGGGGAGGCCGTCGGAATTTCTGTAGGGGTTTTCTCCGATGTGGACCCTCTGGTGCTGCATGAAAATGCCCTCGTCGTTGAACCCCTTTCCGCAGACAAGACACTTGTGTGGTTTGGCTCCAGGGGGCGGGGTGAGCAGGGCGGGGTCCCCGAGCCCCAGCAGCGTGTCGCCCTGCGCTCTCCGGGCCGGCGTCTTCCCTCTCTCGTGGATCACCCGGTGCTGCTCCAGCTCGTGCGCCTCCAGGAAGGCCTTCCCGCAGTCGGAGCACACGAACAGGTTCTCGTCCATGTGGGTGCGCACGTGCGTGATGAGGTTGGAGCTCTGGCTGAAGCTCTTGCCGCACTCGGGGCACTTGTAGGGCTTCTCGCCCGTGTGGGTGCGACGGTGCTGGATGAGGTGGGAGCTGCGGATGAAGCTCTTGCCGCAGTCGGAGCACTTGTAGGGCTTCTCGCCCGTGTGGATGCGCTGGTGGCGGATGAGCGTGGAGCTCATGATGAAGCTCTTGCCGCAGTCGGCGCAGATGTAGGGCCGCTCGCCGCGGTGGATGCGCTGGTGGTTGATGAGGTTGGAGCTGACGCTGAAGCTCTTGCCGCACTCGGGGCACTTGTAGGGCCGCTCGCCCGTGTGCGTGCGCTGGTGCCGCAGCAGCGTGGCGCTCAGCGTGAAGGTCTTGCCGCACACCGGGCACTTGAAGGGGTCCTCGCGCAGGTGGGTCCGCTGGTGCTTGATGAGGGTGGAGCTGTGGCCGAAGCTCTTGCCGCACTCGAGGCACTCGTAGGGCTTCTCGCCGGTGTGCGTGCGCTGGTGCTGCGTCAGCTCCGAGCTCTGGATGAAGCTCTTGCCGCACTCGAGGCACTCGTAGGGCTTCTCGCCGGTGTGCGTGCGCTGGTGCTGCGTCAGCTCCGAGCTCTGGATGAAGCTCTTGCCGCACTCCGTGCAGCGGTACGGCTTCTCGCCCGCGTGGATCTTCTGGTGCTTGAGGAGGTTGTGGTTCTGGCCGAAGCGCTTGCCGCACTCGGGGCACTTGTAGGGCTTCTCGCCGGTGTGCGTGGCCTGGTGCTGGATGAGGTCGGAGCTGCGGTAGAAGGCGCGCCGGCACTCGCCGCACTTGTAGGGCTTCTCGCCCGTGTGCGAGCGCTGGTGCTTGATGAGGTTGGTGCTCTGGGTGAAGGCCTTCTCGCACTCGGTGCACTTGTAGGGCTTCTCGCCCGTGTGCGTGCGCTGGTGCTGCACCAGGTTGGAGCTCCAGCTGAAGCACTTGCCGCAGTCCGGGCACTTGTAGGGCTTCTCGCCCGTGTGCGTGCGCTGGTGCTGCACCAGGTGCGAGCTCTGCGTGAAGCTCTTGCCGCACTCGGAGCAGGTGTTGGGGCGCTCGCCCGTGTGGATGCGCTGGTGCCGCAGCAGCTTGGACCACTGGCTGAAGCTCTTGCCGCACTCGTTGCAGATGTAGGGCTTCTCGGCCCCGGAGGGGCGGCCTTGCACCAGCTCCCGCAGGCTGGACTCATTGGCGGGGACCACCGGGGGGCTGTTCCATGTGGTCAGAGTCCCCCACTGCCAACTGGCCTCACAGGCCTTGGTCCAGTCAGACGGGGTGGGGACTACCTCAGGGGTTGGGGGGTCAAGAGGAGTCTGGTGGTCCAGGGGGTGACCCAGGGGAGAGGGGGTGTCCTGGGGGGCTGAGGGATCCTGGGAGGGTCTCTCCGGGGGCATCTCTGGTGGGTCCTTGAATTCTGGACTCTGAGCTGGATCGCCCAAGATGATCTCCTCCCCAGAGCTGTCCTGCTGAGGGCTCTCTTCGTTCCCACTCTCGGCACCTACAGAGAGAAAGGGAGTCTCCAGCCCCCATCTCCTTTCAGAACATGGGGTCCGTCTCTCTCCCCTCCCCGGAGTCGGGGCCCCTCCCTGAACTGGGGCCCCTGTCTTGTCAGGACTGCGGTCCCTTCTTGTGCCCCTCACCTCTGTGAGCATCGCTGGGGCTCCGGTCAGGACCCCGCAGATCCGGGCCCCACAGCACGGCTTCGGGCTCCATCCCGGAGCTCAGGGCTGCCCGGGGCTCCAGGGACCCTGGGGAGAGAGAGGAGCACACAATGGGACCTACCTCCCGCTTTTTTTTAACTCCCGATTGCCCATCCCCCCAGCTCTCATGCCTCCTTATGTAAACTTCAGTTTCCTACCAAGTCGTTTTTCTGGGCATTAGTTTTCACTGTGCCTACCCACACCACCCCACAGGCCGATTCCTGATCCAGATCTCAAGATCACAACTAAGCAAGGAGATGAATGTAAGAGTGTAATTAAAAACTCATCAGTCATAACCCTTTGAACCCAGACTGGGGGCTGGAGACAGATCTGACACCCACAGGGGAAGTGGCTCTCACCCCACCCCTATGATGCCCAGGGGCTGGGAAACCTGTTATTTTGCTAATCAGAAGCAGCTCATTAACGCTCTAATTTCCATCCTTAATGGGGCTGCTAATTGCGACCAATAAACTTTCCTTAAGAGCCTCACAGAGAACACCGGGAACACATAAGGAGTTAAAAAAAAAAGAGAGAGAGAGACCACTCTGACTTTCCTGAGGTGACAGGAGGGAGAACTGGGGCTCGTTCCGTTATCTACGCACAGAAAGAAGGTCGGGCCAGGTTAAGGGGAGGGGGCGTTTTAAAGCCACTGGTGGCTCGTGCAGGAATGACCTTGAGAGGGACATGGAAAGGGAAAGCCAGAAGGGAGCCGTGTGTGAGGACCACCGGCTGCCACCGGCCTGTGTGGTGTCCTCCTTATCTCGCCCATCTTCCCCACAAGCCCCTGAGGCGACTCAGGAATCAGATCGTCCATTTCACAGATCAGGAAATCAACCCTCGGGGAGACTCCGAGGCCACAGGCTGGGAAGGGGCAGGGACCAGCAATGCAGGCTCTGTGTCTGGCTGCCCCAGCCTCTGAGAGGAAGATGACCTTGGGAGTCACGTGAGACTCATAAACGTGGGCTGCTGGCAGGGCCGGTGAGGAGAGCTCGGATGGAGAAATCCCTGGGACCGTGGTCCTGGGCTGTGACAGGAGGGGTTGGGGCCAGTTTGCGCCTATAAACCCAAACGGTGCTCCCCAGGGAGGCCTCCCCGGCAGTCCCGTTCCGGGCCCTTCTCTAGGTCCGCTCTGTGTGGTCACTCCTGTGTGCTCTGCCCGGACGATGCTGACCCGGAGCAGGTGCGCAGTACGTTGTCAGTGACCGGAAATGGAGGCAATGCCCTTGCTCCTGGACCTGTTTGCCCGATGCCTTTAAAGGTCAGTCTGCAGGGGACCCCGCAAAGCAGCAGCTGAGAGTGGCCTCCTGGGCAGACCTGCCAGCTCACCGGGAGCGGGGTGATGTGAGGGAGGGAGCAGGACCCCAGCTGTGCTTACTTTCCACAGTGTGGGCCTCCGGGGGGTCCCAGGGGGAGCCTGCGCTGCGGTGCCTCTGGGGTGGGTACCTGCTGCAGGGGCACCTGGGACTCAGGAGGACTCAGGCGGAGGCCGCTGGGAGGTACCCCAAGTGCAGCAGGAGCTAGAGGAGCCTGTTCTGTAGCAGCAGGGAGACGGAGTTAGATTTTAGGAAGTGAATTAATTTCTTCATCTCTAGCTCCTTGGGCCAGGAGCCTCTCCCCTCCCCCGGCTGATGTCTGGGGAGGTGCAAGCAGGGGCTGCCTGTGCAGGAGGCCTGGGGGTGCTTGCGGGGGACAGGTGAGCCCCGTGAACCTGGACTGTGTCCACACATTCAAACTCGGCGGAGCAGAGCGGAGGGAAGGGGTTAATGACAAGGCCGCCGTGAGTATGGAAGTGGGAGACCCAGGGAGCAGGTGCCTGGAGCGGACCAGGCCCAGGCCTGGCCTCGGACCTCGAGCTGGTCCCACTGCGGAGGGGGGTGGGGAGCTCCGTGCAGAGGCGTGGAGAGCGGCCCAGGGTGAC